GTTGTTGTTGGTTTACCTGCAGAACTGCCCTCCACCTTCCCCTGCTCTGGTATGTACCACTACTGGGAACTACATGTCCCAGATGCCTCTGTCTTCTGGGTAGGTTCAGCCAATAGGAAGACAGGTGGGTGGGCGGAGGGAAGAATTCAGGCTTTCTCCCCAGTCTTTTTGCTTTCAGACAGCCTGTGGTTGGTTGTGTTTCATCCTTTCCTCCTTCATAATCCCATCTCTTACCAGGGAGCCCCCACTATTTAGATCTTGCCAAATAGCTCTGCAAGTCTATACTACATTACCTTGCTGTCTGTCCAGCCCTAGAGTCGTAGCTGCTTCCAGCTTTGCTGTTTCTGGGTTACCTTGCTTCCTGTTGGCTTCTCAGTTCATCCACTACCCATGTACCAATTCCCTCTGTTTTCTTCCATTTGAAAGACTTGGAGTGTTTCCTCTTTCCTAGCTGGAGCATGATTGACAAACCTTGTCGGTAAATGGTTCTTGTGCCTTCCCAGCCTCCTCCAGGAGGACGAAGGGAGACTCCCTGGGTGAGGAATTCTGGATTCCTTGAAGGCATGCCATTGTCTCTGCTCCTTTCACGTTCTTCAACAGCTTCCTTGAAGTTTTGATGATTTGCATTAGGAACACCAGACCCAGAGTGAGCACACCATGGACTCTCAGGATTTGTGGGGTGGGGCTCTTCCCCCAGGTCTTCAGCAGAGGGGATTGCTCAGAGATCCTTCTTCTCAGAGGCCCATGAAGAATCCAAAAGGGAGTTGGTGGGTGTGGATTCCTCTAAATACTCCCTTTCCTTCCTCTTCCCCTCTCTCTGTTCTTAGCCAACTGGTGCCCTTGGAAAGAGTCTGGTAAATACTGAGAAATGTGTAACTGATGAGGGTCATCTTTCTCCAGAGTGCATTTTCACTAGGGATGGTCCTCTAGCCCAGTTGTTCTCAACTGGGGTGATTTTGGCCCCCAGAAGACACTGGCCATATTTGGAGGAGTTTCTGATCGCCATGTTGCAGGAGGCGTCGAGTGGATATTGGCCTGTCTGCTGCACAGGATGCCCCACAACAAAAAACTATCCCAAATGTCAGTAGTGCCAAGGCTGAGAAATCCTGCCTCAACCTGAAGGAAAAAGCTGCTAATGGTGAATGTCTAAGCATCCTGCCAGGTGACTGGACCAGGAGTGGCAGGAGATTGTCTGGTACATGAATTTAGGTTAAGGAGAAGTTCACAGCATATAAACACAGATAAAAGGGTTTACTGTTTTCACCTTGGGCAGCCCATTGTGGAAAAGCTAATTAGCTCTAAGCACTAAGAAATAAGAGTTATATTTAATTGAGTTACTCATTTTTACCCTAGAAAGGATAGAGACTGAAACGGAAAAAGTGGAGGATAATTTAGATAAATGAATAGACGACAAATTAGTTGGTTATCAGATGAAATTAGGATGTTTGATATTTTGGGGATGCTTGCTCATAGCATACCACTCTCTGTCAAAAATAAACCTTGGGTCTTGCCCAAGATGCTAATTCTGCTGTCTTCTGCAGAGTGGGCCAACAAAGAGTTACCACTAGACAGTGGGGCCCCCAAGACAGATAAGCCCAGTGCCTGTCAGAGAACTCACAATATGACCCGCGCATAGGTAAACATGCCAATATACACATGCACATGCACACAGCAGCATAACAGTACACAGTGCTGGGAAAGGGCTCTGGACAAGGCTCTCTTGGGAGTGTGGAGGAGAAAGTGATCACTTCTGTCATGTCCTGTTCTTCTGAGAGCAAGAGATGGAAAGACCCTTTGGACTCATGACCTTCATCCAGCTGTAGAACCTCTATTTTACTTCTCTCCCAGTAGCCTTTGCACACTTTATGGCCACACCAATGGTTAGGGAATAGCTGGTGCTGGTGGGGGTTGGCGGCCCTGGGAGGGAAGGAAGAGCTGGGGCTCTGGGAAGGGTTGGGGGAGCTTCCAAGACAAGGATCCCCATGGTGTCTGGTCCCCCACAGAGCAAGACTCCACCTCTCTGGAAGTCAGGGGAGCAGTACTGGGAAAAGGGAAGCTCAGTGATCCATCGGGCCCCATCCCTAAATCTTGGGTGACTGTGGACAAGTCACTTTGTTCTCTGGGCCTTGGTTCCCTTGTGCGTTAAGCAAGGAGCTGGATGTGGAGTCAGCTGGAAGGGGACTTTGCAACCATCTGGGCTTATTCCCCCTGCCCCACTATTTCAATTTTCAGATAAGAGCACTGAGATCCAGAGAGGCAAAGTGGTTTTTGCAAAGTCACACAGTTTAAAAGCAGAAATGGAAGTTACAGAATACCTGTAACATAGTTCCACTCATGGAAAAACTACACATTAAAAAAAAATACATGTAAATCTATAAGAATGCACAAAAAGATATAGATGGATGCACAGATTACAGTGGTTCCCCTTGGGTAAGGAGTGGGTAAGGAATGGGACAAAGGGAGGCTTTTATTGTTCCTTATACTTCTGTATTGTTGAAAAATTATATCACAACAAAAATGTATTTGGGTATTATACCTGCACTTTAAAAGATAATATTTAGTATTTATGTTACATTAATATTTGGTGCTATCACAAATGCATAGGTCTCAGATTTCTATTTTTCTCACAACAACAAGCTTGCTCCAGCCCATTCCAGATCGAGAATGCTGCTGTTTCTAAGCGCATAGTCTGGCAGGCAGCTACAGGGACACCACACAGTCTGGTCAGCTCAGATCAGGCCTTGCAGTTCTTCTCGCAGAGCCCTTGAGATGAAAACTATTTGGTGTGCTGCCCTAAGCCAGTGGTTGCATTTCAGGCACCAGCTAGCAAATAGAAAAGGCAGGGAGGTACTTCTCAGAACCTTTGAGATAAAGTAGGCAAGGTGCTGCGTACTCCATTATATAGGATCGTCCTTTATTTAAATACCTGGTTCAAAGGTGAATGGAGTTTCTCTTCTAGGGGTGCCTGGGTTCTGTAGGAAGGTGGGACAGTGTAGAGATCACAGAGCCAGGGAGATAATCCAGGACCCAGATTTCTGATGAATCCATGGACTCTGTGATGTGTGAACCTTTCTGGCTTTCAAAACCAGGTGCGGGAGAGCCCCGATTCTCCATGAGTCTGTGGCTGGTCTGTCTTGGGAAGTAAATGGCAAAAGCCCAGTGGAGACAACCCCAGAGGAGAGGAATTCTGAATCTGTTTCTCACTTGGCTGCTATTTTGTTTGGTGTCCTCAGAAAACTGGCTTATCTCCTGGTCCCAGCAGGCCTCAGAAAACTGACTTATCTTTGTGGAGGATCAGTTTCTTCATCTGGAAAATGGAGAAAAAGTCAGCCTTTCCCCTTCCTTAGCAGGGTGTCCCCATCAGGTGTCAAGGGAAGCAAAGGACCAGGCTTTGGAATCCTGGTTGACAGCAGCTCTTACTCTGAGAGGCCACAGGAGACCAGCAGAGAGGAAGCCATAGGGCTGGGTTGTGCCCTGACCCTGGAGTACCTTGCTCCCCTTTTCTTTGCCTAGTAAACTCCTGTCATTCCTCAACACTCAGCTGAGATGACACCTTCTCCAGGAAGTCTTCCTAAGTCTCTACACAGTGAGTGCCTCTCCCCCCATGCCCCTGGCTCCCTCAGCACACAGTTCTTATCTCTGCCACTAGAATCCTTATCTTATCATATTACAGGCCTGTCTTCCCCCACCTGTCCACTCAAGCTGGGCTCCTGTCTGCCTGTCCAAGGCCGGCTCCGCCCAGGAAGCGGGAGAAACCGGGCACACACTCTGGGCACCTCCGGCAGGGTCCACGGTGGCAGATCTCCACAGTCACATGCAGCGCCTGGGCCTCCCTGGGCCCTCTCTTTGGTCCTGGTTCTCTGACCCTTCCCTCTCTGCTTGCTCACTGCTTGGCACTTTGCTGCTGGATTAAGTTTGGGGCAGAGATTTTGGGGAAAAACACAGCCTCTGCCAGTGAGCTTCCCTTTCCTTCCAGGTGTGGCCTCTAGCCTTGCCCACCCTTCTCCTCTGTGACGCCCAGCACTGCCCACGTCCCGCCCTGATGCTCCGTGGGCTCCAGGCCTGTGTCCAAGCGCTCAGCCTGGCCCCTGTGCTGCCTCTTGGTGCCCACATTCCTGCAACCCCGTGACTACAACAGCGGACATTACACATTCTTGGCTTGGCAGCCAGTGATGTAAAAAAAGAACAGAATGTCCCAGGGCCCCGCCCAGCCCCCACCTTCACCTGGGCCCCTCCCAGGCTGGCCTGGTCGGGGTGGGGATGAAGAGACAGGAGGGAAGAGGATGGGCCGGGGGGAGAGGTGAGGCAGAAGAGGGCTTCCAGTGAGTGCCAGCGCCGGGCGGGCCAGGAGGTGTGCCCTCATCAGTGGGCAGGGAGGGACCTGCAGATACCCCTTCTCCTTCCCCTCCCAGACCTGGGGTGAGGCTGACCTGTGAGTGCCCTTTCGGGGATTCCTCAGGGAGGGGACCTAGCTTCTGGAAGCCCACTTGGGGCTCCCTTCCCTCCCTGCCACCCCTGCCAGGAGGGGAGGGTCCCTTTGGGGCTGACTCCCCACCCCCCTGTCTGCCTCTCCCCTAACCGGCTCCACACCCTCACAAGTCCTTCCTCCTGTCCTCCTCCATCATTTCCATTTCCCACCCTCCCTGCCCTCCTTGTCTTACTCATCCTGGCTGTCCTTTCTCCGTGTCTTGCCCTCCTGGCTTTGCATTCAGGATCCTTCCAGTTGTCTGAGATCTCTGGCCCTCCCTGCCATCCTGTCTCCTAGCTGGTCAGCTCCCCAACTCTTCTTCAGACCTGGGTTACCTTCTGCGGCCCCAGCACCCCCCAGTCACCGGCTCTCAGGAGCCCTCCTCCCTTTGGAAAACTCCGCTCTGACTCCGCCTCTGGCCCACCCCCTGCCCTGCTCACCTTTAATTGAGATGCTAATGAGGCTTCTGTGGCTTCCCGCCCTGCCCGGCGGGCGGGCTCCCTGGCCAGGCCGCTGCACCTGTCAGGTGAGGGGGAGGTTGGGCTGCCAGATTCAGCTGGAAAGGAACCAGTCCCAGTCCAGCCACAACCTGGGAGTGGGGAGCGGGAGGCGGCCCAGGCCTCCCGACCCTGCAGTCCTTGGGACGACGAGGGAGTCAGGGCACAGCCTGAGGCGAGGGCGGGAGACCCAGGAGAGAGCCCGACTTAGAGGGGGAAAGACAAGAGCAAGAGAGGCAGGATCAGAGAGTCTGGCAACCAGAAAGGAGGCAGGCAAGGAAGAAGACAGCTGGGGAGAGACCCACAGAGAAGCAACAGGCAGAGAGAGACCCACAGCTAAGACACAGGTCCTGGAGGAAGAAGGCCGAAGATAGACTGGCCCGCAGCGGAGGCTGACTGTGAGGACAGAGAGGGAGGTGCTAGGACAGAGACCAAAACGTGGCCTTTATCAGGGAACAGAGAGGCCACTGCAGAGCGGTCCAGCTCCTGTCCTGGCCCCAATTCCGGAGGTCAGCTGGCTCTGGGGAAGGTGGAGGGAGGGAGCAGTGGGCTCAGGTGAGTTGGGGTTTAAGGTGATGATGGGGGACGGCGCCCAGAGCCCAGCCCTGACCCTCACCCTACACAATCTCCAAGGGCTCATGAAGGGAGACAAGCGCGAGGAGCAGGGGCCGGGCCCTGAACCTTCGGCTCCCCGGCAGCCCACAGAGGAGGAGGAGGCCCTGATTGAGTTCCACCGCTCCTACCGAGAGCTCTTCCAGTTCTTCTGCAACAACACCACCATCCATGGCGCCATCCGCCTGGTGTGCTCGCAGCACAACCGCATGAAGACTGCCTTCTGGGCCGTGCTCTGGCTCTGCACCTTCGGCATGATGTACTGGCAGTTTGGCCTGCTGTTTGGAGAGTACTTCAGCTACCCCGTCAGCCTCAACATCAATCTCAACTCGGACAAGCTCGTCTTCCCCGCCGTTACCATCTGCACTCTCAATCCCTACAGGTCAGTCGTCCCTCTGCCACTTCAGGGGGGCCCAGAGGTTCCCCCTGAGCAGGCAGACCCTCAGACCCAAGGGCAGGAGGCGGCCCTCCTGTCCCCAGCAGGCCTCACTTGGGCAAGACAGGGAACCCTCTACCTGATGGACTGGCGGTGGCTCTGCCCACGGGGCCCTCCAAGCCCCCAGCCTCACCCAGGGTGCGGGTGGACCACCCCTCTTCCTTTCCGTCCTTCTGCCCGTATGTGGGAGGGAGTGCTGTGAGGTTGAGATGCCAAAAAGGCCAGTAGTGATCATCCCCATCCCTTCCCTGGGGCAAGAGGAGAGGAAAGGGCAGGCAGCCCCCACCCCCACCTGGAGAGAGGACTCTAATGGGGAGGCGAGGCCGCGCAGGTGGTGGTGTGGCAGTGGGGGGTGGGAGCTGGCTGAGGTGGGGCCCTGCCCATCTGTCCTAGTGTGGAAGGAGTTCGTTTTGGGGAAAACAAAGTGTGGGGTGGTGGCAAAGCGATCTGAGCCCTGAGCCAGCCGAGGCTGAGGGTGGAGAGCTGCGGGAACCAGACAGGACAGAAAGCAGCCTGTCCCCCAGTCTCCTGACACCCAGGTGACCCCTGCTGGGCTGAAGAGTTCACCTGCCCAGGTGCCTGATTTTTAAGTGCTCAGGTGTGTCCTGAGGTTTTGAGTTTCATGACTGTTCTGTGCCAATTTTTCATCTGAAAGCCAAAGGGGGTGGTAACCGTGGAGAAGAAAGGAGGGCAGGGCTGGGTGTTTATATATACCTTTATTTATATATTCACTCAGTCCGGCAATGCCAGACAGACACTGCTAGGCACCTGGCAAATGGGCTCATTAAAAATTCATACACTCTTCGTTAAGGCCAAGTCCTTTGCTAGGTGGTGGAAACACAAAGATAGAATAAGATGGAAGAGATAGGCATGGAAACACCTGCAGTCCACTGTGCTAAGTGTAATAAAAATTGCAAGAGTTACAGTCTCTCTGCCTGCAAGGAGCATAAGGCTTATGAGTATGTATTTGTGATTGCATGAGTGTGTGTGTATGTGAGCAAACATATTGGGTGTGTGTGCAATTATGGATGACTGGGACAGGTCACATATTGGGGGTGGAGACCCCTACCCCCCATATTCTACCATGTCCCGAGGTGTGTCATTGACTAATAAGGGTTGGGACGTCCTGTCCTGCAGAGAAAAAGCTGCTGGGCCATTTAACTGATTAGCCTCCTTCTAATGTATGGGTAAGGGGTCATTGACTAGGGAAATGCTGATGCCCCAGACACTGCCAAGTACTCTACAGGAATCCCCAAGAATTCTCACAACAATCCCACAGGCAGGTACTGGTATTATCCCTTTAATATTTCCCTGAGAAAACTGAGGCAAAGGGAGACAACTCACTAGGTCACAGAGATAGTGGTCGAGCTGTGACTCACCCTCTGTCTGATCACAAACCTGTCTCTCTCTCTTTTTATAAGTATTGTTGATATACAGTCTTATATTGGTTTCAAGTGTACCACACAGTGGTTCCACCCTTACCTATATTATTAAATCCTCACCTCCAATAGTGCAGTTACTACCTGTCACCATAGGAAGATGTTACACAGTCACTGACTCCTATCTCTTCTTAATACCCAAGATGTGGGACGGGGAGTAAATGAAGATTCCATCAGATGTTCACCTCGTATTTCTGGGCTGTCCATTCCTTCCCTCAGCCTCCTTCCTCTTCTCCTGGGGCCCGTGGCTTTGCTCCTCTTCCTCCTGACCCTATGGCCCCCCTGCCCTGATCTTTCCCCCAGTCCATCCCCTCTACCTCTAGGCTGTGGTGGAGGGGGGCGACCTTGGGCTGCTGTGAGCCAGTGGGCAGGCAGGAGGTAGGGACAACAGTCAGGGTGGCAGGCTCTCAATGTGATATTTGTGGTTGTAAGATGTGGGTGAGAGATGGAGAGGGCAGGGTTGAGCCTGTGTATTTCCTAAGGTCCTGCTGGGTTCAGGGCCCTGGATAGTCCAAGAAAAAGCCCCAGGGAATGGAAAGCAAGTCCCTGCCTCTGGGGTCTGTCAGCTGGGAGGCAGGGGTCCACACAGAAAGAATCACTTCAGCCCAAAGGGCTGCCGCAGGACAGAGTGAGGAGAAAGCACCCTGGAAGAGAGGGGAGCTGGGCTGGTGCCCTAGTTCAGGGGAGGGATCCTGAATACCTACTATGTGCTTGGTTCCATATTGGGGGCTTGATAAGTACTATCTCATTAATCCTGAAAAGTCCAGGGAGGCGGGCATGATTATGGTTCACATTTTGCAGATGAGGAAATGGAGGTGCAATAATCTGAGCAAGGTGACTCAAAAAATAATAAAACAATGACAGTTAACACTTACATGCTACTTAATATGTACCAGACATAAGTTAAATATTTACATTAATTAGATTTTTAATTTTGACAAAAGACCTCTAAAGTAGGTAGCAGTATTATTCCCATTTTATAGATGAGGGAACTGAGGTCCAGGCAGACTAACTTGCCCAAGTTCACAGAGGTGGTGAAACTGGGCATCAGAAATCACCCCCCTCACCTGGGAGCCAGTGCATCTCAGGTTAGCAGCCGAGTACAAACCAAGTGTGTTTGATTTCAAAGTTCTTTTCTCCTGTTGCACTTCAAGGAGGGGCAACAGCAGCCCAGAATCGTGGGGGGCTGGTGGGAGCCCATGGGGAAGAGCAGCAAAAAGGGGTGCAGGAAGGAGGGACGCAGGGCTTCTGGCTTCTGTCCAAGGAGAGAGGCAGGGCTGGGTGGACACCTAACACAACCTGTGGGTGGCGACCTGGTGTGAATCACCAAGGCTGGAGCAGGAGGCAGGGGGCAGGTGACTCCCGCCAAGGCAGCAGGGAGGAAGTGGGTGAGACAGAGGAGCCTGGAGATAGCTGGTATGGGGCAGAGTTGGGTCAGGATGCCGGCTTCCAGCAGGACACACACTGAGAGGGGAAGGAGGAAGTGCTGGGTTCTGGGCAGCTCTGTCACTTCCAGGAAAGGGGGCAAGGGCTGAAGATCTTCTGATGCTAAGCAAGGAGGTGCCAAGAACCCGGTGTGAGGGGTCAGCCCCTGTGATCCCTTCCTTCCTGGTCAATGCAGGGCTTTTTTCACCCACTCCTGGGAGGGATTAAGGCTGGATCTAAGGAAGGACTTGGGTTCAAACAATAAAGGAGGTCAGGGAATCCTCCTTCCCAGAGAAGGCAGGCAGGGGCACGGCAGCGGGAATGGGGGAAGAGAGGGCGCTGAGCTAGGCCGTAGTCCCTAAGCTTGGTGGGGAGACCCTGCAGGATGTGGACACCAGGTTCTGTGCTGGCGGCCCGGCAGGGACAGGAGCCCAGACTCTTGGCGCTGACCCCACCTCAGTGATGGGCTGCTCTTGGCCGGAGCCTCACTGCCTCAGCAGCTGCTGGTAGAAAGTTCTTCCTTACGCAAAATTTACCTCGTCATAACTTCTCTGAAGCCACCCTAAAAACAGCCCTTCCTTCCTTACTCCACGGATATGTCAGCAGCAACCTCTAGCAGCCTGCAGAGCCCACCATTGCATCCTGGTCCTAACAAGCTTTGCTGAGGAACCGAGGCTCTGAGAACTGGGGCTTTGCACAGCTCACCCGGCTGTTAAGTGGAGGAGTCAGAGTTGGAATCTGTCTTCCACCTGCTCTTGTTCAGACGGCAAAGTCACATGGCAGATAAGTGGCCAGCAGCGCTCCTGTGTCTCCTGTACCTCCTTTGCCACTACTTTTCATATATTAACTCATTTAATCCTCATAACAGCCCTATGTAGCAGGTACTAGTCATCCTCCCACCTCAAAGGTGAGGAGGCAGAGAGACACAGGAGGAGTAATAGTTCTCTAAGGGTAGCCCTCCGACGGGTGCCAAGACTAGGATGTGAGCCTGGAGCGCTGCTTTGAACTGAGTTCCTGTGACTTTCCCTTTGAAACTGATGGCATGGTTTCCAGGGCCCTCACCTTCCTGGGCCTTCCTGGCTGTCCTTCCTCTGACAGTCAGTGGTTTGTGAACATCTATTGTTCTTAAAATGTTGCAGCCAGGATTGAAGTCCACATGTGATCTAGTAGCTCAGAGGGGCTGACTGTCCTCAGGAGGCTCACGGAGAGGGGCTGTGGCCACACTGTGGGCAGGCTGAGCTCACAGAGGCCGTGTGGAGGGACCCCTTCCAGGCTGTGTGTTCACAGCTCCCTGAGAGACAGGCTGGAGGTGCTGAGATGTGGAGGAGAATGGGCCTGGGGAAGGGGCCAATGACAGGGAAGTCAAGGCTTCTAGGTGGTCCCTGGAGGAAGGAGGGAGTTGGGTAGGCCCCCAGATGCCCAGTGGCAACGGAGAGGAAGCTGGTGAGTTTCCGGTACCCAGCTTCACCTAGTACTTCTGGAATGCTGGCTGAGAACGCTCTGCTAGGGGCCTCTGGGTGGGTGGGATGGTGGCCTGGGCAAATCCCAAGGCTGCTCAGTGAGCATGGGCTCTTCTCTAAGAGGCCACCAGGGAGAGAGAGGGAGGGAGGATGAGGAGATACGCAGACAGGCAGAGAACAAGGGAAGCTGTGTCCCTACTCCTGCCAGTCTGTCCTGGGCAAAGAAGAGGGGCTGGAGGGGAGACGGCCAACTGTGGGAAAGGAGGCTTTCATTCCCAGTTTCAAGTGCTCCTGAGCCCAGAGGCAGAAGTCACGGAAACAGCAGGGGCAGTGGCATCTGACACACCTAGGCTCAAATCTTGGCTCCTGTTATTTGCTAGCTGAGAAATGTTAGGGAAGTTGCCCAATTGAAGGGCCTCAGTTTCCTCAGCTGTAAAATGGAAATAGTTAATGCCTGCCTGATGGCAGTGGGAGTGACGGCAGTGAGTGTGACCTGGGAAGGAGTTCAAGGAGAAGGGCTGGGCCGTCCTGCTGAAGCCCCTTGTGGGCATACTTTATCCCTGCCCAGCCCCGGTCTCCTCTTGCCAGGCCCTCCTGCTTGCAGGACAAGATCAGAGGTCATGTGCATTTTACTCAGTGGCTGGTTGTCTTACCTCTAGGTGTCGACTGAAAGGGAGGGAGAGATTGCTTTTTTGAAGGGATGACGTGGGAATACTTCTCCCGGACTTAAGCCAAGAAACAGGAGCACAGTAGGCCTTAGCAAGTGAGGCATTCTATAAGGGGCCTGGCCTTTCCTGCGGTGGTGGTGGGGCTCATCTGAGGCCTCTCTCGAAGAGGCTTCTCAGAGGGAGCCGACACGAGGGGCTGGCACACGGACAGCCTGGGCTCAGTGGAGAAGAGTCACGTGGGTACAGAAGTAACAGCCTGAGATCAGTGATGAGAATGAGGGAAGTGTAGGAGGCCAGAGAGGGGCACCGAGGAACTTGAGACAATAGGCAGGATGGGAAGGGAGGCCCAGCCAGAGATGTGCTGGCTCATGTCATGAAGCTGACTCCAGCCAGGTTGGGAGACCTGGATTCTTCCCACGTGACCATGAGAAAGGTATTTCAGTTTCCTGGGCTTCAGGCCCTTGTGGTGTTTTTCTGATATTCAGTGGCCTCTTCACTTTGTATCACTGGATATTTTCTCATTTAAGCCTCTAAGAGCTTCATGTGGTAGGCAGATCTAGTGTTACGCCCATTCTACAGATGAGGAAAGTGAGGTTGAGTTCAGAAAGGTTGGGTTACTTACCAACATTACCCAGCTAGCAGGCATGCAGCCAGAACACTAGGACCCACATCCAGCTGACTCTGGCTTCGGCTCTTTCTGGGACATGTTGCCAACCTCCTAAAATAGCCCTAAGTTAGCCGAATGGAGGTCAGAGTGATCGTTCTGACCCATTTCCTGGCTTGTGACCTTGAACAAGTCACCTGCCTTGGATTTTTTACCTGTGAAACAGAATGACAGTAGTATTAGCTAACAGTGGCTCACAGTGTGTTGAATTACACTGAAGATTAAATAATATACATTCTAATACCACAGTACCTCATCCATAGTAAGTGCTTAATAAATACTAGCCATTAATGCCATGCTTTTAACTACCAGTAACAAACAAGTCTCTCAAAATGTCAAACTCACACCTTCAGCCTGAGCTACATTTTCTCCTATGAGGGGATGAGCGGGCAGCAGGAGCTGATGCCGAGGGCCCCGCCAGCTAGACTCTTATGAGGAGAGGGAAGTGGAGCTGAGTGGAGAAGGACTGTGAGGATGTGGACTAGACAGTGGTTAACGTTGCTGCACATTAGGGATCCCTGGGGCACTTATAAAAACAACCTTGTTTGAGTGCCACCCTGCTCCACTAAACCTGAATGAGTCAAATGGGGCCCTGCACACGTATTTGACTTTTTCTTTGAGGTGTGATTTACATGCAGTAAAATGGACAAATCTTAAGTGTGCACTGAAGTTTGATAATGAAGTTATTGAACATTCCCATTCCTGGTGCCCGTTTGTGGTAATCCCTACCCCACTCCCTCTCCCACAGGTATGTTCTGACTTCCATCACCATCAATTAGCTTGATCTGTTCTTAGACTTCATATAAATGGAATCACACAACAATTTTCTTATATGTATGTCTGGCTTATTTTGCTCTATTTAATGTTGCTGAAATTCTCTGTTTTTTGCCTCTGTCGGTCCTATTTTATTGCTCAGGGGTATTGATGGACTTTGGGTTGTGTAAAAAAGGCATAACATCTAGCTTTTTGGTTTTTAAGAATAAAAGCTGCTGTGAACATTCATGTACAAGTCTTTTTCATTGGTCTTGAGTGAGTACCTGTCAGTGGAATTGGGTCAGATAACCAGAGGTGCAATTGCTGGGTCATAAGGTAGACAGATGTATGTTTAACTTTATAAGAAACTACCAAACAGTCCACCGACTCTGTTGTACCATTTTAAAGAACCACCAGCAGCAATACAGATTGATCCATATTCTGACCAATATTTGATGTTGTCAATCTTGTAGTTTTAGCCTTTCTAATGGCTGTTAAATAGTACTTCATTATGGTTGTAAGTTGCATTTTCCTGAGGACTAATTATGTTGAGCATGTTCCATGTGTTTTGTGACCATTTGTGTGTGTATATATATATAAATACACACACACATATAATTTGATTCATTTTAAGAACAATTTGTCTTTTTATTGTTGATTTGTAAGATGTTGAGGTCTTCATTTGATTTTTTTTATTACAAACTTTTTTTATTCCTCTTTTATTCCAAAAATTTTCTGCCTACTCCAAAGTCATGAAGATTCCTTCTATGTTTCCTTCTACAGTCTTCATGGCTCTGAAGTTCATGGTTAGGTCTGTGATCCATCTTAATTTAATTTTTGTGTATGGACTGAGGTAGCCCTTAAAGTTCATTTTTTTCTTTTCAGTGAAGTTGAAAAGTTGTTTCAGTACCGTCTGTCTAAAAAAATTATTTTCCCCATTGAATTAAATTGGTGCTTTGGTCAAAAATCATAAGCACTACACTGTTTTGATTACTGTGGCTTTATAATAAGTTGAAGTCAGGTAGAGTAAATACTCCAACTTGGCTCTTATTTTCCAAAATTGTTTTGGCCATTCTAGACTCTTCCATTTCCATATTATCAATTTAGAATCAGCTGAAATTTTTATAGGGATTGTGGAGAATCTAAGGATCAACTTGGGAGACATCTCAACTGATTGAGTTTCTAATTCATTTGTTTTGGTCTTTTGATTTCTCTCAGCAGGATTTGCAGTGTAGAGGCCTTATGCACCATTCATTCCATTTATTCCTAGCATTTGATGTTGCTTATGTTATTTAATACTGTTTTTGGTGATTTCATTTTCTAATTTTTTGTTGCTATTATATAAAAATACAATTATATTTGTATATTGATTTTGTATTCTGCAACCTTTATTTATTAGTTCTAGGAGTGTTTTGGTAGATTCTATACCTAAGGCGCTGCTTGTCTTGACTGTCATGATGGAGATGGAATGGGGCCTCTATTGAGAAGAAATGTGCCGATTTATACTGGACAGTGTTTTTCTTCTGGTGTTTGGGTCCCACCCAAAACTCATTAAAACTGAGTCTGTGGAGGAGTGTGCAGCATCATTATTTTTCAAGTTTCTAGGGAAAATTCTAAAAGTGCAGTCGAGAACCCTTGATTTCAAAGGTGCCCGGGTGGCCGACTGGCCCAAAAAGCACCGTCGCCTGAGGGATCAGGGTGCGGTAAACTGCGCACCGCGAGTGCTTGTTGGGCGCATCTGGGCTTGAGCGCGTCTGGGCCCAAGCAGAAGCCGCCCCCTCCCGCCGTTGGAAAGGACAGATAAGTTCTGGGTTCCCTCCCCGGCCAGGGCTAGAGGGAGGAGGGCGCCTCCCGCCTCTCCTTTTCGATAAATAGGCCGCAACAAATGCCGTCACGCCGGGGCTCGCTGTCGCCTCCACATCTCCCGCGGTGACACCTGCCTGCACCCCGACGTCCCCACCCCTTCGAGAGAGCCCTGGAGACACCAGAGTTATTCCCCGAAGCTTCTCCGGGATGAACCGACCGCACCGGCGACGGACGAGAAACCAGGCGGGGCGGGCGGGTACTTGCACTGGGCCGGCCCCCGCCCCGGCCGGCCCTTACCGGTCCCCGCCCCTTCCAGGTACACGCAAATTAAAGAGGAGCTGGAGGAGCTGGACCGCATCACCGAGCAGACGCTCTTCGACCTGTACAAATACAACTCCTCCCGAACCCTGCGGGCCCATCTCCGAGGCCGTCGCGGCCTCCGAGAGTCCCTGCCTCACCCCCTGCAGCGCCTGGGGGTGCCGGCCCCGCCCCCCGCGGCTCGCAGGGCGCGCAGCGCCGCCTCTAGCGTGCGGGACAATAACCCCCAGGTGAACAGGAAGGACTGGAAGATCGGCTTCAAGCTGGTAAGGCCCCGCCCCGCATCCGCCCCCTTCCCGGCCCCCGCCTCTGACGCCTGTCAGAGGCGGGTCCTCGTCGGCCTGCTAGCAAAATAAATGAATAAAGTCTGACAAGTAAAACGACGGAACATTTTCCCGTGCGCCTGCTTGTGGGGTCCCCTCGCTGGGGGCCTCCGCCGGCGCGGCTAAGCGCCCGGAAGTCAAATCTGTTGTGGGAAACGCAGTTTGCTGAACTGCGGTCGCCCTTGCTGGGTGCGGCTCAGTCGGCGCGCTCCAGTGGGGTAGGGAACGGGGCTCTGCCGGCCAAAGACGGAATACGGGGGCGGAAAAAAGGAGACTTTAAAAAAACCTGTTTTAATACAAAAATAAAAGGGAGAGTAAGAGGAAGTGGGAGAGCAGCAGAAGCGAGAAGGCCCGCATTAGTGAGAGCGGGCCGTGCTTCCAGGACGCGGGGACTCTCTGGTCCCAGCCCGGCCGCGGGGCCAAGCCTCTTGATTCCTCAGTCCTCATCCGTGAAGTGGGGAGAAGAGTCCTTGCCCACCCTCCGCAGGGGCTGCATGAATGACCCGGAAGGTGTGGACAGCCCGTCTCCTCCCTGGCCTACCGCCCCCTTAAGCCTTGCTGTGCCGGTCCACTCCTGGCGTCTGCTTCCCTGCCTCCTGTTCTTCCCCACTCCTGGCTCCCCACCCTGCCCGTCAGTCCTCAGGAGCCCAGAGCACTCATTTCCCGACCTCGGTCTGTCCCTGCTGTTCGTCCTCTGACCCTCTATGGTCTCTGTGTCTAGTGCAACCAGAACAAAACAGACTGCTTCTACCAGACATACTCCTCGGGGGTGGATGCGGTGAGAGAGTGGTACCGCTTCCACTACATCAACATTCTGTCCAGACTGCGGAACCCTTCCTCGTCCCTGGAGAAGGACGCACTGGGCAACTTCATTTTTGCCTGCCGCTTCAACGAGGCCTCCTGCAATCAGGCGTGAGTCTCTCCTCCGGACTCCGGGCTCCCCAGGGAGACTCTCTTCCTGGGCCCAGCACGATGCCCAGCATGGGAGGCACCCAAGAAATCTAAATAAATGTCTGCAGGAAGGAGGGGGAAGCCCAGATCTCAGGTCCAAACCTCTGGCCTATAGATCATCCTGCAAGACTTGCCACTCCCTGTACGGCTTGGGAGTGAGGCAGCCTTCTATGGATGCCCTGGGGAGGCTGGGGTTGAGGTCTGGCTTTGAGAAACCAAGGGCTGGAAGCATGGTTCTCTGACTGCTAAGACCTTTCTCACCCCCGTGAAACTCCAGTGTACCTGGAAGGTCCTCTTGGTCCCTCACTCCCCCGTCTCAGATGGCCAGGAGTGGTGTGTGGAAATAGGGATGAACCGGAGTTCCTGCCCTGATGGTGTTGCTTCCTGGCCTGGGGATTTCTGGGCATTTCTCATCACTCTTCAGAACCTGCTCCTTGATTTGTAAAATGTGGATTGACGCAGGGGAATGAGATTCAGTCAGTGTCCATTCAACAAATATTTTTGACTGGGCTTTTGTGCTAGTCACCGTTCTAGCCATTTGGGATCCATTAAAGAAGACAACATACATAGTCCTTGGCCTTTTGGTATTTTACCCAAGTGATGAAGATGTTGGTAACACCCATCTCCAAGTGCCTGAGACGAATGTGAGGGCACCTTGCACACTGCAGTCAATGATGGGTCTCATTACCCTTGTTCTCAAATGTGTGAAAGTGACCTGCCCTAGACCACCAGGCCAGCCTAGCTAAGGGTTCTTCCCACCCAACTGTACTGCCGGCCAGGTTCTGTCTCTGTTTTAACTGTTGTCATAGTGTCCTTTCAAAGAGGTCGTGAGGGCCCGGCGAGGCTGGGAGTAAGGGAGGTTCCCTTCTGTAGCCTCTGGCTTTTCCCACCCCCACCTTCCCCTCCCTACTTCTGCTCCTCAATTTTCAGGCACCATCTCTACTCTACACGGAGCCCTTCCCTCCCCTGTTGCTGTGGACTGGCGACAGGGCCAGGTGTCACCTGCTTCAGCCCCTCCCCTGTCACATACACCCTGCCCGGCCCTGTCTCTAGTGTTCATGTTTGAGGACCAGCTATCAGCTGGGAAGTGAGACAGCAGCCCCCAAGCCTGGAGCTCACACCTGCCACTGAGTCTCTGTCACCTCCCACTGCCCCTCTCTGCCAGCCCACGCTCTTCCCTCCCCATCAGTGGAAAGGCCATAGTTCATCTCTGTTCTGATGCTTAGATCATTACCTTAGCTCCAAGCCTCACCATTTCTTACCTGGCTATTATAACCTCCCCTCCCCAATTGTCTTTCTGTCTCAATCTTTCCTTCATTCTGCAACCATAGGAAACTTTATATCTCACTATTCTTACTTCTCCATACTGCACTTTACTCATCCCTTAGTACTGTTTAAAATCTTTGGTGTCTCTCATGGCCTTCAGAATCAAATCCACACTGTTTATCATGGCTTCCTCGCCCCTCTCCACCCCCATATCCAACACCCTATCAACTTCTCTCCATAATCTTTTATTTAATAACAGCTTTATAGAGATATCATTTATACACCATAAAATCCATCCTTTTAGTATATACCATTCAGTGGTTTTTAGGGTACTCAGAATTGTCCAACCATCACCACCATCTAATTTTAGAACATTTTCCTCACCCAAAAAGAAATCCTGTACACATTAGCAGTCACTGTCTAGTCTTCCCTGTCCTCTGAGCCCTGGGAACCACTAATCTACTTTTTTCTGTCTCTATCAGTTGCTTGTTGTGGACCTTTCATTTAAATGGAATCATAAAATATGTGGTCCTTTGTTTCTGGCTTCTTTCACTTAGTATCATGCTTTGAAGGTTCATCCATGTTGTAGCATATATCAGTACTTCATTCTTTTTTTATGGCTGAATAATATTCCATTCCATGGATATGCCACATTCTGTTTACCTGTTCCTCAGTTGGTAGACATTTGGCTGTTTGTACTTTTTGGCTTTTATGAATAATGCTGCTATGAACATTCACGTACAATTTTTGCATGGATGTATGTTTTCATTTCTCTTAGGTGAACACTGAGAAGTGGAATTACTGGGTCATATAGTAATTCTATATTTAACATTTTGAGGACCTGTCATACTGTTTTCCTAAAGACCATGCCAGCGGGCATCCCCCCAGCAGCATATGAAGGCTCTAAATTCTCCACAGCCTCCACTTGTTATTGTCTTTTTTACTTTAGCCATCTTAGCAGATCCCTGTAGTCTTAATAACAAAATTATGAAGTTCTTACTAAGTACTAAGCACTGTTTGAAGTGTAATTTAATCCCCATAGCTCCCTTGTGAGGTAAGTGCTGTCCCCATTTTAGAGAGGAGGAAACAGTAGTACAGAGAGATTAAGTAACTTGGTTGGTTCCGCAGCTAATACTCCTTAGAACTAGGATTCAGATACAAGTAGCTTTGTTCTGGAATCTGTGCTCTTAACCATCACCTTATACTACTTCTCATTTATTCTTATGTCCTTAATATCTATCCCTTTGTAGGTGTGTTTTCCAAGTGTGTATGTAATGTGTACATAAATGGTGTGCTGTGTATCTCATTTAAGATCCATCCACATTTGTTCTTCGAATCTGTTGATTGCACCTGCTATATAGAGTCCATGGTGTACCTCCTCTACACTGTGCTTGTCCCCTTTTTCCCACTGAGCAGGGCTCACAGGGCCCTGAACTAGCCTCTACTTCCATCCCCCTCTGGATCCAGCCTTTACTCTGGAAATGCTGACTTCCCAGCACTTCCCAGAATGTACACCAGTTACCTCTGTGATTTTGTTCTTCAAGCCAGTGGAGTATTCCAGGTCATCTACTTTCAGTCTCCTCGTTTTGCAGATGAGGAGCATAAGCTTAGAAAAAAATAACTTGGCCTGAGGCCTTACAACCAGAGCCCCTGTCATTCCTGCCCTGGGCTCTGATCCTCCTCCCACTCTCAGCCCCACCCTCACCACTGGTCTCCCTTTCAATTCTGACCCTGTTCTCTAACATTTCTCCATTTCATTTGTTCGTTCATTTGACAACTATTTATTAACTAGCTCCTATATGCCAAGAATTGTAAAATTCATCCAGAGACCATACAGAGATAAATGAGGTGCGGCTCCTGTTCTCAAGGAGATCACAGAAATGGGGAACTAAGATTTACCCAGTGAGACGCTGGGGACACTGCAAGAGTCTTCAAAAGCAGCACAGTGACATGAGAGAGGTCGCAAGGCCAGTGAGGTCAGGTGTCTTGGTGGGAGGAGCCTGGACTGGAAGGTGGATGACCTAGTTTGAGTCCTGAATTCATTAGCATCACTTTTTCCATGACCTTGTGTGACCTTGAGTAGCTTCTAGACTTCTCTGAGTCCCAGCTTCCTCTTCTGTGACATGGGGGATGATGCTTTCACAGGCTGCTGGCTGGAGTGCCTGAGGGAGCATGGGAAAAGCTCCCAGCTTTGTGTGGGCACATAGTAGGTGATAAGGAAACGGAGGCTGCTGAAAGTCCCCTTTCCCAGAGCTGCTGCACTTTCCTCTCTGACCCCACTCTCTCTCTCCTGAATAGTAATTACTCTCACTTCCACCACCCAATGTATGGGAACTGCTACACTTTCAACGACAAGAACAGCTCTAACCTCTGGATGTCTTCCATGCCTGGGATCAACAATGGTGAGCCGCCCCTCATCCCCTCTGTCCCCAACTTCCATCTCAGCCTTGCCTCTGCCCTGCCCACCACATTCGCCCTCCTTGAGCTCACATCCTAGAGACGATGTGGGCCCCTGGGCCTCCCTACTACATGCCTCTCTCTCTCCTGGAAGGAGTCTCCTCTGTTCTTTCTCTCCCATGGGCACCACGCAGTCCATTCCAGGCATGGTAGGAATCCTGTTCCGTCCTTCCTGTATGCCCCCAGAATCCAGCCCAGGGGTTGCCAGATATATTTGTAGGTCTTCTAGGCCTTGTTCTCCTTGGAGCTCTGGAGACTAGGCAGGTGGCAGGGAGGGTGGACTTCTATCCCCTAATGCCTCTCCAAGACCTTCCTCCTCCTCTGCTCCCTCTGCACCCCTCAGGTCTGTCCCTATTGCTGCGCACAGAGCAGAATGACTACATCCCGCTGCTGTCCACAGTGACTGGGGCCAGGGTAATGGTGCATGGGCAGGATGAGCCTGCCTTTATGGACGACGGAGGCTTTAACCTGCGGCCTGGTGTAGAGACCTCCATCAGCATGAGGAAGGCAAGGATGCTGCCTGGGAGGCCTGGAAAGGGCCCAGAATAAAGAGGGCAGGAGAGGACATGGCCAGTGACTTGACAGCCAGCAGACTGTGGAGGGCGACCATGCAGGGTGGGCCTTGAGCACGTGAGGGCCTCAGGAGCAGAGATCAGGGTGAGGGGACTGGCCAAATGGGCATCAGGAAGCGGGGCCTAGGGAGTGGACCTTGGATGAGAGGGCTGAGAACAGGTTTGGGACAGGCTTAGGATTCCAGGGGATGCTAAGTGTCTTTGAAAGTAGCCCTGGGCTGAGCACTGGGGCTCTTGGGGGCATGTTTTAAAATGCTGAGGCAGAGACACTGCCCAGGAGGAGGTACAACCTGGGACTGAGGGAAGACAGAGATTTCTAGAAGCAGCCTGGGCTACTTGCTCTGCCCTCTGCCCTCCGACTTGTTGGTATGTGTGGTTTCCCAGGAAGCCCTGGACAGACTTGGGGGCAACTATGGTGACTGCACTGTGAATGGCAGCAACATCCCAGTCAAGAACCTTTACCCTCCCAAGTACACGCAGCAGGTGAGGCCAGCTGTCTCTGTGGCAGCCATGTCCCAGGCCTGCACTGCTGGGCAGTCAAAGCTGGAGGGTGCGTGTGTGTGTGCGTGTGTGTGCGTGTGTGTGTGTGTGTGTGTGTGTGTGTGTGTGTACTGCTGGTGGAGGGAGGGGGTTGGTGTGGAGCGCTGTTTGCCGTCTGTCCCTGCCCTTCTGGCTGGGGTGGGGGGCAGGCCTGAACCCCTCTCCTTGCCTCCCCTCTCTCGCAGGTGTGCATTCACTCCTGCTTCCAGGAGAACATGGTCAAGGAGTGTGGCTGTGCCTACATCTTCTACCCACAGCCCGAGGGCGTGGAGTACTGTGACTACAGGAAGCATGACTCCTGGGGTGAGCCCTGAGCTGTTACTGCCCTTTCCCAGGAGCTCTCCCCTCTTTGACCCTCTTCTCTGGACGGCTTCTGGCTGAGTCTCCCCATTTTCCAGTCCTTAGACACACCTCTCTCAGTTTTCCTTGCACTCTGTCTCTCTCCATCTCTCTTCCTCCCTCACAGTTTCCCTCTTGGTTTTGGCTTCCATGTATTGAAGGAATGGCCTCATTTAAAAGTAACTTGCAGCATAGGGAAGAAAGAGCATGTGAGGAAAATCTCCCTCCTTCCGTTTGCTCTGCCTGCTGAGGGTTCAGGCACACTCTGCCTGTGGCTTCCCCATGCACGCTGGGCCGGGGAGGCACAAGACAGCCCATTGGGTACAGGATGGAAACACTGAAGTTCTGTTATCTATCACATTCCCTAACACCTTCCATTTTATGTATGCTTTATAATATTCAGAATGTATTCATTCAATAGTAGCAGGTATGTAATTTATAAACCAAATGCATATGTTGGAGTTGCTTAAGAATTTTTTACCTACAGGAGGGCACAATCAAGTTTGCAGAGCACTGGAATCTCCTTATCTTGGCCTAGGAATAGACAAATCCCTTTTCCTTTTCACGACAGCTGGGTTTTCAGCAGTGAGGCTGTGTACTAGGAAACCGAAAGAGAAGGAAAATCCCAAACAAGAAACCACAGAAAGCAGAGGGTTGGCATTCCTGGCTCACACGTCATCTGGCGCAGCTGAGCAGTCCTCCCAAGGGTCCTGCTCCCTGGGCTCCCCTGGGTCCAGCTCCCTGCCAGGAGGCAACTGGCCTTTTCTGGAAACAAGCCTTCACACCTCCCAGGGGACATGGCAGGGGGCACTGCAGACCCAGAACTTAGTGCCTGCCTCTGTCTTGGTTCTGAATGTGTTGATCTTTCTGCCGCCTTCTTTCCCTGGTCTGTTCCACACAGCTTCTCCCTGTCTGCACTTTGCCTGCTGGTTCCTGTCTGTCTGACCTTAGAAGATCATAGCACATCAGAGCTGGAGGGAAATGCAGAGGCCATCTGGCCCTACCTTCTTTCTCATGAGCAAGCAAGCTGAGGCCAGAGGGGAGACAGGTCCTCCCAGGACGTGCAGAGCAGGACTCCCTGCCGCTGCTCCGCATTGTCCCCAGTGATGGTTTCTAATGGTTGTGAGTTTGAAGATCTGTGAGAAAAGTAACAATGCTGATTGCCGAGAAGCTGTGATGATGGCAGAGAGGAAACCAGGTTGAAAACAGCCCGTTGAGTTCCCTGACGACTGCTTGTGCCCCAGAGAAAAGGCCCAGATGGTCCCCATTCTTCCTAATTAAAGGTCTCAGCCCTGGTGGATGCAGGGATTTGGGTCAGAAATGAAGGCCTTCTGAACTGGGTAGCTAAAAGTACAAGAATGACAAATAACCTTACTTGAAACTTGGCAAATAGGGGAGAAAAGGGACCTATAGCCTCTTACTATTTTTTATATCAGCTTTATTGAGAAAATTCATATCCCAAATAAGTCATCCATTTGAAGTATGTGATTCAGTTTTGGTTTTTGGTGTAGTGACAGTTGTACAAAGGTTGCCACAGTTTTAGAACACTTCATCACCCTGAAAAGAAACTCTGGGCCCCTTAGCACTCCCCAAGTTCCCCACTCTTTGCACCCCACGTCTCGCAACTGCTGATCTAGTTTCTGTCTCTATGGATCTGCCTCTTCTGGACATTTCACTTAAATGGAATCATACAATATGTGGTCCTTTGTGTTTGATGTCTAAACATAATATTTTCAAGGTTTTGCCACCTTGTAGCATGTGTCAGTACTTCATTCCTTTTTATACCTAAATAATTGCCCAGTGTGCAGAGAAACCATGTTTATCCATCACCAGCTGATGGACATTTGGGTTATTTTAATTTTTTGAATTATGCTGCTGTGACACAACTTTTTGTGGACATGCTTTCAGTTCTCTTGGGTATATACCTAAGAGTGGAATGGCTGAGTCATAGCACCACTCTGTGTTTAACATTTTGAGGAACTGCCAGACTGTTTTCCAAAGTGTCTGCACTATTTTATATCCCCAGCAGCAGTGTGTGAGGGTTCTGATTTCTGCACATCCTCACTAACACTTGTTATAGTCTTTTTTTTTTTTTTTAAGTAGAGCCATCCTGGTGGGTGTAATCTCTGTGGTCTTACACAATCGTTCCCATTTTTCTTTTTGAGTTTTTAATTTTTGCCCATATCCCACTCATCTTTACAGAGGCATATCCTGTTTTGTTTTGTTTTCTTCTGACCTAGCTTCATTTCTTGAACAGTTTTTTGGTGCTGCCGCTGAGGTGGCACCACTGTAATGTTATGATGTTCCTGTGAAGTGGGTGCCCAGGGATCTTGGGAGGCCTCCTGGGTGTGGGGTGGAGAAGGGTGAGGTGTCTTAGGAAAGTGGGCACCACTCTGCACCCGCAGGCTACTGCTATTACAAGCTTCTGGACGCCTTCTCCTCAGACCGCCTGGGCTGCTTCACCAAGTGCCGGAAGCCATGCAGGTGAGTGCCCTCTTCCACGGGGGCATGGGCTGGGCAGCATACAGGGTGCCCCTCACTGAGTGGCCTTCTCTGTCCCCAGTGTGACCAGCTACCAGCTCTCTGCCAGTTACTCACGCTGGCCCTCCGTGGCATCCCAAGTAAGCGGGGATGGGGTGGAATGTGGGGCGTGTGTGTAACGCCGTGGTCTTCACTGGGTATATCAGTGTGCATGTGTTTGACCCAAGCCCTATAAGCCTGAGAGGATGGGGGTGACCCCTTGACACCCCCTTTCTTTCACAGGACTGGGTCTTCCAGATGCTATCCCTGCAGAACAATTACACCATCAACAACAAAAGGTCAGTTCCCGCTGTCCCAGCCCCGGGAAAGAAATCCTTGGGAGGGATAGTGGACCTGGGAAGGGGCACTGATACAGTATGATTGGAGGAGGGGCTTGTGAGGATCCCCGAGGTCAGCCTCTGCCATTTCTTCCCACTCACTCCCCCGCACCAAAGAAATGGAGTCGCCAAACTCAACATCTTCTTCAGGGAGCTGAACTACAAAACCAGCTCCGAGTCCCCCTCTGTCACGGTACGCCCTGCTTTGCTGGGCTGGGGGTTCTCGCGGGGGTCTTAGCGGGTGACCATCGGGGAAAATAAGGGGGTGCTTCTGGGGGCCAGAAGTGGGGCCAAGAAGGTAGGGGGCCAAGGAGAGGGGTGAAGGGAAAGGGTGGGTCGAGAGAGTTGGAAGGTGGGGAGCTTGGCTGGGGGATGAAGTCTCAGCGCGGTGGGAGGGAGGAGTGTGCCAGGTGGGTACGACTGGACAGAAGGGGCCACCGAGAGGCCCCTGAGGGGGGCGGGGCTCCGGAGCCCACCCCCAGCGCTCCCTGTGCCTTTTGCTCTCACAGATGGTCGCCCTTCTGTCCAGCCTGGGGAGCCAGTGGAGCCTGTGGTTCGGCTCCTCCGTGCTGTCCGTGGTGGAGATGGCAGAGCTCATCGCTGACCTCCTAGGCATCACGTTCCTCCTGCTGCTTCGGAGGTTCCGGAGCCGCTACTGGTCTCCAGGCCGAGGGGGCAGGGCTGTGCAGGAGGTGGCCTCCACTCCAGCCTCCTCCCTCCCCTCCCATTCCTGCCTCCAGCCCGCATCCCCCTTCTCATCCCTGCCTGGCCCTGATACCTCCCCGGCCTTGACAGCTCCTCCCCCTGCCTATGCCACCCTGAGCCCATGCCCATCTCCATCTGGCTCAGAGGGGGCCAGCTCCTCTGCCCGTACCCAGGGGAAGCCCTGAGGGGGAAGGAGGAGAATATCCACCCTCTCAAGGAAGGCATTTCCCCTGGTGGGAAGGGACCAGCCCCAGCAGGCTTAAAGAAGGTCTGGGGCTTCCTCTCAGAGCTGCCCAGTGGCCTGTGTGTGGGGGCAGGAGGCAGGCTGGCTAAGGGGCTACAGAAACTGCCTGGAGAACAGGAGCCAAGGAAGCTTCCTGGACTTGCCCTGCTCCTGCCCTGTACCCCTACCCTCGAGGACGCTCTGGTTTCCTCACCCAAATGCGGCCAGGCCTCCTTTCCCCTTGGAGCAGCCAAGCCAGACTTGGAGCATTGACAAGGAACTTTCCCAGGAAACCCCTGGCGACCGGAAACAAACAAGGGCACGCACAGCTCTGAGCAGGCTTCTGACCCAGAGATGGCTGAGCCAGCCTCAGAGTGGCCAGGCCACACTGCTTTCCAGTGACACAGACGTTTGCTTCGCTTCTTGAACTTGGGTGGGGAACCCCACCCAAAAGCCCCCTTTGTTAGTAATTGGGCAATTCCCCTTCCCTGACTCCCCAGGTCGGGGGCCAGAGCAGACCAATGTAGTCAAGGTGGCCATTCCTAGTTGGCTCTAGACCACTTCCAGCCTCGTCTACCCCAGGTCCCAGCAGAGCCACGCCCCACTGCCTCTGCCTTGTGTCCTTTGTATCTCTGCATATTTGCTCAAGCTTTTTCCTCAGCCTTTGAAGCTTCCCTCCACATTTGCTGGAGAACTCCTGTGCATCCCTTAGAATGCTGCTCAGACTCCCTTCTGTGAAGGCTTTTGCCCACCCTCCTCAGAACTGATCCCTCCCCTCTCCTCTGGACTGCCATAGCACACAGTAACATCTGTTGGAGTGCTGCTGTTGCATGATACTTGTTCATTTGTGTCTAGCCTCCCCTACTCCCTGAACTGAGCTGCTGTGGACAAGGACTGTGTCTTTCTCACTTGTGTATCCTCAGGGTCTAGTCCAGTGTCCTGCTTGAAGCAAGTAGGCAGAACCTCAAAATGTGTGTTTCATAAGGAATGTCTGGAGAGCTGGATGGGCACCACAGTGGGGGTAGGGAGTGGATGTCAGTCCCTGGGTCATTGCCCAAGCTCTGGGGTGGGAGGTCCTGGGGGCAGGGGGGACCAGCTCCCAAGCCCCTGGCCTCACTGTGGAAGTGATCATCCTTCCAGGGCTTTAGGAGAGGCAGACCGTCCTGCTATCTCCTCTGTGGTGTTGCTGAGCATCTGCCACGTGCCTGTCACCAGGTCAGGATGGGAGGGCGAACACATGCACTGCCCCCCTCAGACCCACCAGGCAGGTCTCAGCTTGGGGTGACCTGCCCCTGTCCACTGCCTGAACTTCCTTTTGCGTCCCTAGTTCAGTCAGTGCTCCATTCGCTGAGGAGCACGCCCCTCTCAGCTGCCACCTCCCCACTGACTGGTGGAGGAGGAGGGCCTGCAGCCTCCAGGCTTGTGTGTTCTCCTCCTGGCACCAGCACAGACAGCGGCATTGGGAACCCTCCCAGCTTTTCATAAAGGAAAAGGAGGGCTGCCTGATGGGGACCCGGTGTTGGGACCCCGTGCCGTCGTCCACTTCAGCCTCAGACTGGAACCCAGAAGTTACCTTCCTCCTCATCGTTGGGGATACCTGCTGCCTTGGTCATGGTCCCCTGAGTTACAGTCTCCTTGTGCTAAGGAGCCAAGTGAATCATGGGAAAGAGGAGGATGACAGAACCAGAGGTAGCAAAGGTCCTTACTGGGAACTGATGTGATGGCTTCTGACTTCCTTTTCCTAGACACAGGCTGATGAAGGGAAGACACTAGTGTCACAAGAGCCTCATGTTCAGCCTGCCCTGGTCTGCTCTCTGCCTTGCCCCGCCCATTCCCAGCTCCCTGTCCTCTGGGGGTTGGGCAGGACCTGCTGGGCAAAGCTGGATCTGTTAAGGATGACAGTGGTCAGCACCCCCAGCCCCTCTGAGTCTCTCCTGGGCCACTGTGCTTCCACCCTGAGGTGTTCCTGAGCCACACCTTACCCCTGGACCCTACATTGTCTCCTTTTCCTTACCAAGGTTGGCATGAGATGACCTGCCAAGTTCATAATTCTTACAGAACCTGGGTCTCCCACTATGACCCAGTCTGTCTCTCTGTGACTCATGGAGCTGGAATGGCAGGGCCTGGGCCATAATTGTGTCACCCTGATGCCCTTTTGATCCCTCTGTGCTGCTGTGGGGCGAGTGACATGATGAGGGGGGTCTCTGCTAATTGAAGCCCTCCACCCTTCATCCTTGGCTCCACAATCCCTGCCGAATCCGTCATCCCGGCCTGCCCCTCCAGCTGCGTCCCTCCAGTCTCGCCCTGCCTTTCTCTCCCTCACCACTATTTCTGCCCCTGGAGGGCTTACCATCACCATTGTCACCTCCTCCACGGCTCCAATTAGCTTTTCACGTTCTTAGGCCCAGCCACCTCCCGCCATCTTTGTTTGAACAGAATTTTATTGAACAATTGGATACCACCTTCCTCAAAATGCTAAACTTATTGAGTAAATAAGCATTTATCCTGAACAATGAAAGAAATTCTTCTGTGCCACCTTGAGTGTAATGGCTTTGGTAGTTGGCACAGATAATTAAAAATTTCTTGTAACAGAAAAAATAGATTAAGTTATTACAGGCAGACCTTGGAGATACTGCCGTTTTCAGTTCAGACCGCCATAATAAAGCAAATGTCACAATCAAGTGAGCCAAATGAATTTTTTGGTTTCCCAATGCATATAAAAGTTATGTTTACGCTATCCTATAGTTTATTAAGTGTGCAATAACACTGTCTAGAAAAAAGTGTACATACCTTAATTAAAAAATACTTTATTGCTAAAAAATGCTAACCATCGTCTGACTTTTCAGTGAGCCGTAATCACTGATCACAGATCCCCATAATATAATAATGAAAAAGTTTGAAATGTGAGAATTACCAAAATGTGTGTCATAAAATGAGTCACAAGAAATGTGTATTTGGTCATTTGTATGAGCAAATAATATACTTCCCAAGTATGTTTGGTCTTCACAGTTCCTGAAAACACTGCAGAACTTTAAAGGTGAAATGGGTGTCTTGTCCTGTTGATGAGAGGCATTTGGACCCCACCCAGGGGCAGGGGCTGGAGGCTGAATTAGCCAAGGTCCAAAAATGTAGTCAGTCATGACTATGCAATGAAGCCCTCACAAAAAGCCAGAGAAGCACTCTGCCAGTTTGGATCCTGCTTCTCAGTTGGAGAGAGAGCAGCATTTGGGGAACCCAAATGCTCCCCCGAGCCCGGCCCCAAGCTCCGCAGGGATAGATGCTCCTTCATTTGGGACCTTGCCCTATGTATCTTCATCTGGCTGTTAACCTGCATCCTTTATTCAGCTGGTAAACCTAAGTGTTTTTCAAAGTTCTGTGGGCTGCTCTAGGTGAGTTTCAGCCTCCTTGATCCAACTTCAACCCTCCAGATCTTTGGAAGCTGGAGGGAGGGATGGAGTGAAGTCAGCCACAGGTGCGGGCATCCACACTCCATTCTGTCTACCGATGCTCTGCTCTTGGGATCAAAGAGGGGAGGCCAGGTGGAGCTGGAGAGGGTAGACTCCAGGGTGGGGGGCAGCTGGCAAGTCAATGGGAGAAGGGCCCAGGAACTCCCAATTCCAAGCCACAAAACCCGTGGACCTTACTCCTCTCTGGTCTCCCAACATTTTGGGCAACCTCAGCAGCTTGAGGACCTCAGGCCTGGTCTGGGTATGGGGAAGGTCATGGTAACCCGGGGGTATTTGGGTGAGCATTCTACCCTGGCTGCAGGAATCATCTGGGAGATGTCGTGCAGAACTGGACATGGCATAAAATACCCATAGTGTGGTGTCTGAATTAAAGAGACAGATAGAAAAGTGACAATCTGCCTATCATAACAAAAAAGACCCTTGGATCAAAGCCAGGGGTCTAGGGTCTTGGCTGGCTCTGCAGGGAACATGCTACTTGTGTCTCCTGGCCTGAGCCTGAGCTTTTGCATCTATTAGACAAGGTGGTGCAGTAGGTTTGTAAGGTCAATTCAGATTGATGTATTAGAGTATTTGGAAGAAGAGCCCTGAAAATATACCAGTAATGCCCAATCGAGATAGCTGTAATTTGCAAAGCATGTTCACAGACATGCTCTGGTTAATCCTCATAGCACCAAGTTCCCCAAGTAGAGTTCCCAGGTGGGTTCCCCAGGTAAGTGAGCCAAGCATCATTATACTCCTTCTCTAAATGAGGAACAGGAGTTCCCCGGAGCTCCTGCCTGAAGCCCTACAATTGGTGGCAGAGCTGTCTGGCCTCAGGCAGATGGAGACCGAACCAGATTGAGTGAAGGGTGTCACGGCCCCAGTCAGAGCAGAAAACCAGAGTCAACATTTACTCTGACGTTGGGTTGGAGGGGGGCATTCCCGAGAATGCAGGAGATGAAGGTGTCCGCGGAGGACTCTGGGAGAAAGGAAGGGTCACTAGGGAGCACTGAGTACTTGCCATGTGTCCCACACTTATCTGTGCTGTCTGGGTAAATTCTTACAACCTCTGAGGCAGGTTCTGTCCGGTTCGCAGTTTGGAAAACAGGCTCTGAGAGTTTAGGTTGTTTGTCCAAGACCCCCCTCGCAACCCCGCCCCCCATAAAAAGCGACGCATTCTGCACCGGAACCCGGTGAATCCGACTCCAAAGCCCTGGGTCTTTTCTACTGCTGTTCGTCCGGGGCAGGCCCGGTGATGTGGGGGGTGGGGGGGCTTGCCGCCCCCGGGAGTGTGGCTGGGAGTGGTCAGATTGGTGGGCAGGGGCTCGAGGCCGCCGGGATCCAGGCCCCCGCCTCAGCCGGGGCTCCCACAGGGTTAACACGGCCCCCTCCTCCGCCTCCCGCCTCCTCCCGCCTCCTCCCCCGGCTCTTCCTGTCCCACTGTTGCAACAGCCGGGCTGCCGCTCTCCCTTCCCTCCCACCTCCTCCCCGCTCCTCTTTGCTTTACTTTTCTGAGTTCTCCGGGGCTCCGGCCTTCGGGGTCTGACGGCCCTGGAACCAGACCTCAACTCCGCCCCGGTCTCAACCCTCAACTCCCCTGCCCAGGGCCCCGGCTCCCCTCGGGACCCCGGAACCCCGTGCATCCCGGACTCGGTCGCTGCGCCGGGGTGCCTGCCGCCGCCACTGCCTGAGCCCCGATGGGGGAGTGAGAGGCCACAGCTGGCCGGACATGGGCCTCTCCACCGTGCCTGGCCTGCTGCCACCGCTGGTGAGACCAGGGACGGAGGGTGGAGTGGGCCGGTGGGTAAAGGGCGTACCAGGCAGCGGTGGGCCCTTCTTGCCAGCCCGGTGGCCCAGCCTCGGGCCTGCGTGGCCTAACTCCAAACACGCCATTCGGGTTTCCCCATTCATCCGCCCACCCTGAGCCCACCCTGCGTGGGGGCAGAGAAGTTTGGAAGGCAGGGAGTGGAGGGAGCCCCTGCCTCTGACAGCCAAGGAGGTTTGCTGAGACTAGGGGGTGTCTGTCTGGGAATGTGGTCTCGCCATTCACGGAGGGTGAAGAGGATTTGGAGGGGAAAGGAAGGGGTGGAAGAGGGAAGTTTAGTCCTCTCAGGGTCCAGCAGATTCGGAATTCTGGAATTCTCTCCGTTTGGTCACCTGGCTGGCCCCGAGTGTGTTGGGCTGTGGGGAGGTGAGGCTGCTGGAGGGCCCTGGCTGAGCGAACCCTGTCAGAGGCAGGAGCGACCTGCTAGTGAAGTGGGGAAACAGTCCAGGAGAGGCGATGGGTCGGTGGGACACCGTGCAGTTTGGGATGCTGTGCAGCAGGGGGTACTTGGGGGTGGAGTGGAAACTGGATGGGGCAGGGCACCCTAGGGAGAGCATCCGCTGTGCCCTCCTAGGCCCAGGCCCCCGGGCCTCTTGCCTCTCCGCCTCAGGCTCAGCTTCCAGGCAGGTGGCCGCTGCGGGCTGCCCTTCTCTAGGCAGTAGAACCACCTTCACGTGGTCAGTGTCCTGTGCCTGCCTCAGCTCCCCCCCCACAGCCCTGAGCGACAATTCCCTGGTTTCTTCTACAGCTCAGTTTGGGGAAGTTGGTAGAAAGTTGTTTTCGTCACTGGAAAATGTCCCTTTCTGGTGCCTCATCCTTGTGTCAGTGCCTCCTCGATCCCCCTTCACGTCCCATGCAGATTCTCTGAGCCCCTCTTCCCCACCCTGGGGGGCCTGGGGGTGCATTTTCCAGCCGTGTTGGTCAGTTTCTTCTTTCTTCCCTGCCACACCCCTCACCGGCTCCCCACCTCCTCTCCTCAGCCTCCTGCTGTCTCCTAATCATTCTTTTTCTCTCAGTCTCCCCAGAAGTCTCCTAAGACCCTCAGACTCTTCTTTTTGAAATCTTTTTTTCTCATTTCTCCCCTACCTCCCCTCTAGTACACATTGCTAGGCCTTAATTCCTCACCCATCCCTGGTCTCTGTCACACTGTCAGTATTCCTCTCCTCTGTCACCTCCTGTCTCTGTGGTGCCTCCCATCTCTCCCCTTCGCTTGAGGCTGCCCTTCTCCCAGGCTGCCCCCTTCCCACTCTGGGGTAAGATAGACTGTGAATTCAAATCCCAGCCCTCTCACATATTTCCTGTCTGAACTTGAGCAGGCTCTGGTATTCCTCCATGCCTTAGTTTCTTTATCTGTAAAATGGATATAATAGTCACTACCTCATACTGTTATTTTAAAGATTAAGTAGATTGGTATATGTTAAGTATTCAATTTATTTAAGTGCCTGCTCTGTGCTAGACACTGTTTTAGGTGCTGGGATTACAGAAGTGAACAGTCTCTGCCCTCATGGAGGGTACATTCTAGTAGAGGAATAGGATACAGCACATGGAAGGCACTCAGTAAGTGTGAGCTTCTGTATTGGTAGGATTCGTGGTAAGCACTTGATGGCTACTGTGTTTGGAAAACAGAATGTACAAGTAGCCTGAGCAGATGAATGAGGGTGCTGGGGGCTGGAGCTGACCCAGGCAGGTGGAGGCAAGTCTGCCAAGGGACAGAAACTCAGCCTGGAGCTAGAGGCAAGCAGGGGGTATGCAAGGCATGGATAAGGCTGGCCACGAGTTTTTCCATTGCTGCCAATTGAATGGACAGCACCCTCAGAGAGCACACAGTGTGCACCTGTTGGGACAGGGAGTGGGGAGTGGAGGAGAGTACTAGAGAGACTGCAATAAAGCTACCAGGATTTTGTTGCTTTCAAAGAGCCTAGGAGTCTAGGAGGTGAGAGAGCTTACAGCAAAAAACGATTTCAGAACAGTCCAGAGGAGAATATCCACAAAGACACTGTGATGGTGTGCCCTGAATCACGGCTGGGAGGCAGAACCAGGAAGGGGAGTGAGCATTGTCCAGCTGCTTTTTCTTGTTTAGCAGATCCCAACCCTAGCGTCCATGCCCTTGGACATGCCCTGAATAGATGGCAGAGCCTACAAGTGACTGGCCCAACTGAGAACTCTAGAGAGCATGAACAGTGTGCTCATCTCTGCGTCCCTGGCAGCCATATGGGACCTGGTGCATAGACTGTGCTCCTTACCTGTTTGTTGAATGAATAAAGGAACAAGGGATTGGTCAGATGGAACAAGGGAGGGAAAGCCTCATATAAAGGTGGATTTGAAGATGAGATTTGAAGTCATTGGCTGGCAGGTGGCTAGAAAGAAGGGGTTTGAGGGTGAGTAGAGGAATGGAAAGTTGGGATTTGTGTTAGGGGTGGTGGCAGGAAGCTGTGCACCTTGGCTGGAGTGGAAGGGCCACGTTGAGAAACAAGAAGAAAGGAGGATGAGAAAACTGGAGGGAGTGGGAAGCAGGTGAAGAGAGAATCTTGAGCATGGTCCCAGGTAGAGGGGTTCATTCATTCACTCGTTCATTCATGAATGGTTTCCTGAGGACCCCCTGTGTCTGGGAATGTATTCAGAAAAGCAGTGGTTCCTCTGCAAGTACATATTGCAGGAAGGAGCAGCCTGTGGAAA